AAAAAAGAAAAAGGAAGAAACAAAATAAGGTAAATGCTTTCATTGCCAGAATCCTCATTTCTCAGCAGCACGCATAGGCAATTCACCAGGTGAGGCCCAGGGAAACCAACAACCACATCAAGTGTTAACCTATCTCAAAATACAGACCAAGAAACCAAAAAAATTCTAAAGTAGCAAGATTGAAATGATGTTAGGCTTCCAATGACGGATCTCATTAACCATTCTAACTGTTGCCCATCTTGTAGCTTCTCTTATATCCATAGACCCTTTTTTTTTAACATGCTTCTCAAGGTCAAATTATCGACAGCAGTAGTAACATAGAACATCTAAAATCTCTCTAGATCTAAATTAACAGCGCTGCACTAATGGCTTGACCCAAAGGTGAAGTAGAAACATGCATAAACTAAAGTGCTAAGATCATTAGAATCATGATGTGAAATATGCATGCATGCAGGCATGAATCTCATCCACAAACAATGATGTACCAAATCCCTAGAACACACATACCATAAGGGATGAAGTGGAAAAAAAAGAAGAAGAAAAAAAAAAGAAAGAAAACCACCCCTTACATGACTTGAAACTAAAACAATCAATGAAAAAAAGCTCAGAACAAACTAAATGCACGGAGGCTCGCAAACTTCTGCACTACAACTTTTCTTAATAATCAACCTAAATAAAGAATGATCAGTCATTAAACCCAGATGATTTTTGAAAACAGCAAATTTAAGTCAACAAGAATACGATCCATAGTTAGAAATCAATTTTTACCAGCTCATACTTGAATGCTGCCCAAACCCATATCCTATGAAGTGTATAGCACATTTAGCCATTTTAAATTCATGTGAAAAGATTTTGGGGTTTGAAAAGGACTACCAGTGCTGTCTCACAATTGATCACGAATAAGCATCTTTGACAGGAAATAAATTACTTAACATGGCAGAATGTCAAAATGTTAGCAGGAAACCACTGACTAAACCGGGGTTTTTTTGGGGGTTGATTTTTCCATTACTTCAGAATTTTTATGCTCTTGTTAGGCTTTGAGATAGGTTATCACTAGCATGTAGTTGTTGAAACTCTAGGCCTCACCAGCCTCACCCGGAAAATTGACTCCAGCACAGTAGTGACGAGAAAAGCACCTTCCAAACTACTAATTACCTGTTTAGTGCTGCATGAGGATGAAGAAGTACTGCATAAAAGATTTTTTAAGTTGGAAAGAAGACACTGAAGAAGCTGCCGAGGGAATCAAAAACTATTTTCTAGGCCTGAAAGGATAAAGAGAAAACAAGGAAAATAATTGAAGCAGGTCACAACAGATAACAACACACACGGAAGGTAAATGAGAAGCTCATTTCAAACATACCTAACTACAAGTACTAGAAACTTTGGTTCAGGAACTTCCACCAGCATTGCCTGCAATAGCAGCCTTCTGACATAGAAAGGCAGTGAAACCAACAGAATGTTAAAATAACTACATTTCTTGTAGCCAAGAAGTTGCCACACTAACATTAAAAAGGCCTTACTGGCTCAATGTTTCCCTTGCCATTCTCTTGAGCTAGAGAACTTGGAGTAGGATTTGAAAACCTGAAAAAAGATATTAGAACAATCATTATTGGATGCAAACATAGGCCTTTAAAATTATTAAAACATCACATAACATTGCAGGAAACAGTTCGTTTGTCCTCACACATGAGTACCTGATTGCCCTCGCTTTTCTTTTGTCTTCTTCATGTTTATCTGTCTTGGTATAAGGTGCAAACCTGGCAAGCCGAGATTTCCTTTTTGCTTCCTCATCTGCAGCTGTAGATGGTACAGAAAGCCCAAACCTAAGAAAAAAAAAATAAAGTAGACAATTACCAATTGGATCAAATTCAACTTTAGCCACGTGAATGGCAGGGCAATCAGGTAAAGGTGACAGGATATAAAACCTCTCAGCTCTAGCCTTCCTCTTCTCTTCCTCTGATTTCTTCTCTTCCTCTGACTTCTTCAATGCTTCCGTTCCATTTGAGGCGGTCACAGTGCCAAACCTGCAGAGAATTAATCCGCAGTGGGCAAGTCAGAAACATAAGAAGAGAGTCAAAGTTTATAAAGTATGAACTTTAACCTCAACAAAAATGCTTCCAGCATAATAAATATTAGACACAACTGTTTATTACAAAGTAGAGTACTAACTCTAGCCCAATTGAGGTAAGGGGAAGTCATTCTACAACTAAAACATTGAAACGCTAAAGTAGGCTAATTGCGAAATTACGCTTTGATAAACCCTAACCCTAACATCAGCAATGATAAACGCTAAAAAAAATTATTCTACAACTAAAACATTTAACAAACCCTAACCCTAACACCAGCAATGATAAACCCTAAAATCACAAAATCAACCCCAAAACAAAGCATAAACTGTTACCTTTCAGCACGAGAATTACGCTTCTCTTCCTCCGATAGCTGAACTGGCATCCCGAACCTTTCCGCTCGGCGAATCTTCCTCTGGATGTTGGAGGCTTGAGCGCTATCATTAGCAGCGACTGAACCTACAGCAGATACGGTTTTCTTTGCACCCTCGCCTTCCTCTTGAAAGGCTTCCGAAACAGCGGATGGTGCAGCGACGTTCGGCGGATCTGACTTCGCTAAGGTAGTTGGTGCCGGGTCAACAGCCTTCTTAGGGTTTTGGTCCCCCGAGGCGCCGGTGGTAGCAGCGGTTGGTTTGTCCGTAGCGGTTGCCATTGCGGTGGTAGGTTCGAGTGGGAAGCACGATGGAGAGAAGGTAATCGGCGGAACGTAGAGTAGCTTTCGAATTTGTTCGGCGTTCCAGTACTAGGGTTAGGTTAGCAGAAAAAAAGGCGTGACGAAGGGAATGCCTAAAAGTGGGGATGGAGCGGAAAAGTCATAAGAACCGTGTCGTCCGAATTTGATTCCCTTGAAGATATCTTTCTCTCTTTTTTAACTTTTGAAGTTTTGACGTGGCAAAAGCTGCTTGGTCAGCCCTCGATAATTATCACATTAATTATTCATCCTCGTGTGCCTTCTTTGAATACGGTC